ATATCTGTGTGTATATGTAAATGTATATGTATATGTATCTGTATATATATATTGTATTTATACTGTAGTCGGTGATGTCATTCGAATGTACATCTGAGAAACCCGAGTACGGGAGTGTCCATGTGTTTGGACGCGTATAATTAATACTTATCGCTCAAAATTGAAGCCTCTTAGTCGTATTGTCCTGTTCTTTATTTCTGGTGCAGGTGCAAGAGGTATTGGCCACCATGGACTACGCCGTGTATCAGCACAGTGTGCAGCATATTGTTCTGGACAATCTCCAGTTCATGCTCAGCAGTGTTGCAGGCACAAGGTGTGTGTATGTGCGTGTGTCCATGTATGAGTATATATATCCCATGTATGTGTTTGTATGTGTTTCTGTCCGTGTGAGTATGATTATGCACATACCATGTATGTGTTCATGTTGAATACCGTCTTTGAGGGTGTCTCTTTGATTCTTGTTGATCCTTTACACTCGCTTAGCAACCGTTGAACGGTACGGTTTCGAGCGTTCTTTTCATCCAAATGGTATTGATAAACTCCTATTCTAAACGTTGAACGGTATGGTTTCGAAATTTCTTCTCATTCAAATGGTATTGATAAACTCATATTCCAAACGTTGAACGGTATTGTTTCGAGTGTTCTTCTCATCCAAATGGCATTGATAAACTCCTATTCCAAACGTTGAACGGTATGGTTTCGAAAGTTCTTCTCATTCAAATGGTACTGATAAACTCCTATTCCAAACGTTGAACGGTATGGTTTCAAGTGTTCTTCTCATCCCAATGGCTTTGTTAAACTCCTATTCAAAACAACGCTTTACCTGTTAAACTTATTACCTGTAGGGGTAAGGCTGATAAGTTTGATTTGCAGGATAGCGCCATCAGTGAGTTCCGGCGGTTTGCGACAGAAAAGAATGTTCACGTCACTCTGGTCGTTCACCCGCGGAAAGAGAGGTGGGGCTGGGCGTGACCAGAGGATATCATATATAGAGATATATATATTTATATTATTTGTGTATGTGTATGAGTATGAATATGTACATATATACGTGTATGTCTGCGTGTCTCTGAGGATGGATCTATCATGATGTATGCATATAAATTGTCTATGGGATAGGTGCTTCTGTAGATTACCCTGAACTTTACTTTCAACCTAGCGCATAAAACAGAGTACATCAATAATGTTCGTGCGTGGTGGTCTATTTATGCAGTTGTAGGGAAACATGGGACTTACATGTGACACACCCATACGATTGTCACACATCCTAAGTACACAGGACATCCATTATGTTCGTGCATGGAGGAACACACACATATATATCTATATCTATATATATATATATATATATATATAATATATATATATATATATATATATATATATATATAGTAGTAGACTAGTAGTCGTAC